TTAAAAAACAAGATTGATGTAGCAAACATTAATATCAATGGTGTATGCTAGAGAATATATTTGACACGAGTCCTATAATATGATAGCAAAGGTCATTTGAGGTAGTTATAGCCTATCGTTAGTCAAGATAAGACTGCTTGAAGAACACAATGATATCAAAGTATATAATCAAATAGATAAAGAAATGACGATGAGTCCAAATTTAAATGACTATAAAAAATCAAGTAACAGGTAGAATAAAAGCCTCTAGCGAGTTTTGTGTTATTGCTAGTTGTGCTATGATTGGAGTTGATGAGTAAGTCAAATAAAAAAGGCTTCTTCAAATATGATGATCGGTGCTATATTCCTGGATGGTTATTCGACATTAGTGTCTAGATCAATCATGCTGTGTTCTAGAGCCAATATGCTAGCGTGATAAATGATCCTCAATCGCAATTGTTGAAGTTGAATCGACCTGACTAGTTTTTCTAATGCTATCACGTTTGAAACTAAAAAGCCTCTTGAAAGTGTTCCTCCGCATCCGCTCTACTTGAGAACAAACTCCTCCAAGGATGCTATGCAAGACCCTTAAATAGCTGGGGATCATTCCATGGCAATAACAAAGTCAATTAGTTGATCAATGCCTCTTTGCATACTCAAACTGAACTGCATTAATATTGCACTATCACTAATAACAATGTAGTGTAAAGATAAGACCCATGATAACCATGTATACATTTTTGACAAACAGCAAGTGAGACCATCTTCCCTTCATATACACAAAGGAGCCACAATCGCCGGTAGTCCCCAACCTAACCGATCGGGGACCGTTTCCAAAACTGAATTGACAACCAACTTATGATTATGTGCCAAGGGAGGACACTCTTAGACAACTATTACTATGCAATTCACTAAAAGTTCTTTGCCAACTTTCGCATCGGAGAGTTCAGAGATATCTTCTATAACTGTTGTAGGTGGCGTCAGACTGATTTGTCAGTGTCCATCGGCTCGGAAGCTGTTGTAGGTGGTGTCGGACTGCTTCCATCGGTTACCTGCTGCTGCTCAGCGGTTTGAGGTTGAGCTGGTGGTGTCTCAGTTGGAAAAGGCTGTGGCTTGGCTGGAGGTGGCCTCAGCTTTGTCATTATCGGCTTGCAAAACCTACTCACACATGCTCTCACAATCAATTTTCATGGAAATCTCAGGCTCTAATGCATAGAACACATTTCATATGTTGCTCAGCTCCAAACGAGGATTAGAATAGCGATTTTGGATAAATAAAACATCATACAAGATCGTGTAAATGATTACAGCATGACATGGAACTGCTCCTACATTCTCAACCAACAATTAATAGTCCTACATGACTAAAGAAAACTTAGCCAACGAGTAGCATCTATCCTTCATAGTACAACTAGTGAACCACTCTAGGTTGATTTCATAGAGCCTCTGTACGAAAACAGATGAACAGTCCTACAAATATACTTTTTCACTTCCTAGAGGTAAATCACTGATGGTACAGTCAAGTTGAATATATTCAAGACATCTATAACTGAACTTACCTGTCTAGTGTCTCAGCTTTTCTCTTTAGATCTCGAGAAAGAAGAACTGGATTGGCATATTTAGGTAAAGCATCCTGCTGCTGTTTCTTCTCCCATAACCATGCTTTCTGCTTCTCCACATTCATTTATTACCTGTTCAACAAACCAACAAACCAAGTATATTACCACAGTTTTTATAATCACTGTTAGACTCTAGACCTCTATGCAGATACAAGATTGAGAAAAAGAGGTTATCTCAAATCTTCACTTAGAAGCAGGTTTGGTTTACCGCATCACCATATAATAGAACTTCTAAAGCTGCCCTTATCTGCTATACAGCAATCAAGAGGGATGTCTCCTCTTGAAATTAACTAACACAGGCTTCTAAAAAGGATACAAAATGAATTCCATGATAAACAAAATGTTATCACCATCCGACGTATACTATTCTAAGATGACATTCAGAAGATGTAAGTGCTAGGCCAAAGCATAACAAAGTTGTGAATCTGTATAGTGGCAAAATAGATCATCTTACTTTCTCCATAACAGAAAATTCTTGTGCTCTGCCAACTACAATCAAAACTGTGATATGAGGTGACAAAACCCAATGAGAAAAAATGCCCCAAGAAAGGAGACAGTCAACACTGATGGCAAACTCTATAAGATAGTGGATGAGTTATATCAAAATTCTACCCATCAGCATCCACCATTGTATTGAGAATAGTGGTTCACTCAACCATAGGTTAGTTAAGCCACAGACACAATAAAAAAGTGTCTAAAGCCAACCTAGTAGTTATGTTAGTAGCACATTTACTAGGGTTGAAATTTTATATAGAACAAGGTCATAGAAAGTAAGGATTGAAATACCATATCGTATCGATGTTTTGAGCTTGGCTCGGTACGGTATCGTACCGTGTATCGAGCAGTATGCCAGGGCGTACCGAACGGTTCATCTAATTTAGGTGTAAAATTCTCCAAAAATACTTGAAAAAAAAAAAAGTTAGGATAGAGTTTTTAAGTCAGAATAAATATAGTAATAGTATAAGTTTAGCAAAATCAATATAAATTAGGTAAGAATAATATCACATATCTTTTTCGGATTTTGAGGAATAGTCTTGTACAAGGTTCATATTTTAGTCTGTTACAGATTGTCCTTATGTAAATATTAAAATATCTATATAAAAAAATCATTTGAATTGTTAGACTATTTTGTTACAATATAAACTCTAAAATTTAAATGAATTAAATAATCACATATGTAAATATACATGATTGTTGATTCTGCTATCAAAACGAATGACGGGCCTCCACGAGCGGTGGATCAGGGTCTCGATCCTATACATCTGCATATCAATATGATATATTTGTTGGACCTAATCTATATGCCATTGATACATCAATGTGATGATGGTCATAGGCTGATTGTCATAAATCACATTTATCCTATTAAGTGTCTAATTTCGAATTAATCAATATTAAACACATTAATCATAATATTGAAGACCTTAATTATTCTTTAATTAAAGAAAGAGAATACATATCTCTTGATTAGAAAGTTCTTCCTCTTAATCTTTTAAAATTAGTCTTGATTCAATTTATAACTCATTATTTTGTAGAGTTTATGAGAGCACAAATGAGAAAAAAAGAGTTTGAGATAGTTTAAGAGAGTATGAGAATGAAACAGAGTGAAATAGGAAAGAAGAAGGGTTTAAAAACCTATGAAAAATGGCTCCAATGGTCAATTTGACCGTTGGAGCATTGTTATCGAACGGTAACGATCTAAATTTTGACTGTTACCGCCCGATATAACCTCGTATAGTTTGATACGAGATGCTTTTAAGCATTCTGTCCGGTAGCGGGCGATCCGTGTATTGATATACTGTCGGACCGGTATGTACCGCTCGTACAAGATGGTATCATTCGAAACTGTATACCTTAATAAAAAGTTCAAGTTTTTGAAAACTACAAACATCGAGAAGAAATAGCAAGAAGATGTTTCACAATTGTTTGTGTTTATGTAACTACTTTGCACTAGCATCATATGATGAGACATTTCTAAACAAGCTAAGCAGAAAACACATGCATTTTCTCACTACTATCAGTTTAAAAGTCAATACAAAATCAAAATGAAATGATGGACAATAATTCTATGGCTGACTAAGATATACCAAGCACCAATTAGTAAGAGAACTTCAGATTAAGTGTTATAACATCTCATAGAAACTTCAGAACTACCCTGGTTGAACACATTAAATCTTAAGAAAAAAAGATAAGAGAAACTCCAATCATCATAAAAAAGAAGAAATAACTATAAGCATCAGATCATAGATTGGATGGAATTGCAAGAATAATTACTTATACAACTCCAGAAAAGATTGCGGAACTAAAATTAGAAAGCAGGTCATGGGTCATATATAATACAAAGAGACAGTAAAAACCAGAAACAAGGAATTACCACTACTTAGAAGAAACAACAGAAGATGAGATAAGCATTTTGATCAAATTATCAGACGATATTGTCACCATGCCAACAAGACCAAAATTGATGATTTACAAACCTTGGAATCTGTATCCATCTGAACAGGCTTTTCCCCGGCCTCTGGTGCCCCATTCTCGACCCCATCACTAGAATTGTCAGTGGTTCCATGAGCTTCCTGCACGTCTACATCATTTTCAGTTTTTGAGGAAGCATTTGTTGCTTCATCCATGTCCATAGATTACTTTGTCAGCTCTGCCACGTCCGATGTTGCAACTTCAACTTCCTCTTCTTCCAACATCTGCAAAAAGTAGGATATATTTTACTTTTGAGGTGTCTAGGATTCAAGACTAAGAACCACTAACTAGAAAGAGATACTGCTTATGACTTACAGTGGCTGGCTCAATAGAAACAATTCCATGGAGATTCAACCAAACTTTTACTTTCAACTTATCACGCTCGTCTTTGCTGGTCTGGAAAGGACCAATCTGTACAACAAGATATATTGCTGTCAAGAAGAACAAGAAGCACATAACAAGAATGATATGGTGGGAGGTTTTTGTATATGCTACTTACTGTGTATGTGCTAATTTTTGCTGGAACTTGCATATCACCCACATCAGCATACACAACATCAACTGTGAAAGTAGTAGATCTATAAAATGCAAGAGCTTTGACACTTGGGATTGGATTCCCTTTCGGAAAAACAACTGAACGCTGCTGGTTTTCTGAACCAATGGTCAGAGAATCAGGGGCAGATCCTTTCCATGACAGCGCTATTGAAAAAGGGAAACTCTCATGAACCTTTCACCATAGAAAAAATTGTGTCAAAGATAAGAAACCACAGGTCCAAGTATGTCCACATATATATAATAATATGCATAAACAAGACAAGGATCACATAATTAAATGAATGAACTGATAAAACAGGCAACAGCAGTAAATAAGATGTAAAATAACACTTATTGTATGACAAGAACAAGACAGATAGCAATCATCAAGTCATATTAGTTGAGTATTGGAATTAACAACAAAAGTTACATGAACAGGTGAGCTGTTTGTTACATTAAGCCACATCCTGAATCTTAAACATAAACAACAAATTCCTCTCTATATTCTATTTCTTGCACTGTATAATAATTTACTCAAGAGACCTATTTGAGAAACATTAATGGCAATCAAAGACACAAAATGGAAAAGAAACACTATTAAGTACAAAAGTTAAGACAACGAAACATTCAATTTATGAGATGTATGGAACATTCAATTTTTCCTATACATAGTGTATTTAATGGTTGGCGAGTTTGCCTTTCGGAAGTGTCAAATTAATGTTGATTCATGTGTTATTGTATTTGCTTCGATCTTGGCAACACCAATTTGTTCCCATCCCCTTTGTTGTGAAGCTGCAGGTTGTCGTTATACACCCATCTGCTGCCATATTCATGTTCAATTAACTTAATTCTCCCTTTCAACAGCAAGATGTTTCTTATAATGCATTAAATGTCGCACATTATCTAGCAGTAGACTCGGACTTCTACTTGAAGCCCGACACTCTCTCTACGGTGGACGAGATCGACCTGCTGACCATAGGGCCACTGATCCCCTCCTGGCCATTCGCTGCCAGCACTAACCTAAAAGAGTCCGATCCAAGCACCGGCAAGCCGGACGAGAAGAGGTACGTGGAGTGGCTGGACTCGAAAACGCAGCGGTCGGTGGTGTACGTCTCCTTCGGAAGCTTGCACTACTTCACGAAGCGGGAGCTGGTGGAACTCTCAGCGGGCCTGGCGCAGAAGAGGCGGCCATACCTGTTGGTGGTACGGCGAGACAACAGGTAGGAGGCGGGCGTGGAGCTGGAGGGAGGAGGGGAACAAGGTCTGGTGGTCGAGTGGTGCTCGCGGGTGAAAGCGCTGTCCCATTCCGCGGTGAGCCTATCGTGCGGCGTGCCGATGGTGGGCGCCCCGCGGCTGTCGGACCAGGCGACGAACGCAAGGATGGCGGAGGTCACCTGGGGGATGGGGGTGACTGCCGAGCTCCGCGAGGACGGGTGATCGAGGCGACGGGGTGAGGAGGAAGGCGGCAGAATGGAAGGAGAGAGGGTCGTCGGATCGGAATCTAAGGGCATTCCTGGAGGAGATTGGAGAAGGATCATGAACAATATTCTATCGCGACGATAAGGTTATATGAAGAAAGACGGCGAGTTCTTTCGTTTGTCAGTTTGTTGGAAGGCGTATGTAATCATTTAGTCAAACGGATTATTCGGAAAAAATATGATATATATTAGTGTTCATCACAACATCTTTAAATAGTCTATAATTTCTTCCTTGACATGTTAGGCGACTACGATCCCCACATTATAAATTTATCGATTGGGCAGATAGGTAACCGGAGGACCCGAGAAAGCAGCACAGCCGCAGAAGGACCCCAGGTTTCCAACGAATCAATGCACGGGTAGTAATATGTGTCGGGCGAAAGGGTGGGAACGAATTATGTGCTGTAGCGATCTGGCCAAACTATAGACGGCTCGGCTTTCGCTGTGCGACCCGAGAACAGGGTCCAGCTAAGGTTAAACCTTGGGGTGCATCAGCGAGCTGGCATGCGCTCATCTTTGAGACCTCGACCTCGACCTCGCTGGCTGGTGGGCCCCAGTCGCAAGGTAACTTGGTGAAAGCTGATCGCTGCCGGGGACCGTACAGATAAGCTGCACCCGTCGTCCACCGTCAAGATCGGGGAGCTGTTTCCCGTGATGGTAACTTGACCTTCCGGGGAAACGAAATCGTTTAGGTAACGACATACGGTACGAGCTAATCTTCTGCGGCCTCTTGTCTCTGTTCCTCGCCTCTTACTCTTTGATGTAGGCCACGTTAGTATCTCGCAATCGTTGATTCATTCGTGTCCAAGCAAGGCGGTTCGTAAAATCGAAGAGAAAAAAGTATTTCTCTTTTTTCATCTTCCCCATCTCTCTCTCTCTCTCTCTCTTCATCTTCCCAGACTTCAAATTCCAGATTTTTCAGCAATTCCATCTAGTTCTTCGCCGAGTCGCTGCATTCATCGTCGTCTCGATTCCCCTCCCGAATCCCCATTGGAAGCCGAAGTCAGTACGATCTTCCCCTCTTTTCGTTGTTAGATCTCTCTCTTCGTGATATATATGCTGTAGATCTTGGAAACCGGTAATTCAAGTCTTAGATGGCTGTGAGATCCGGATGTTCTTCTTGTGTTGTATTGGCTTAAGCTTCTGTTTCAAGGTTCTCCATTTTGGTTCCTAGTTTAGCATTTTAGGTTTTTTTTCTTATTTAAATGTAAATTTCGAACACAGTCTCTCGGATCAGGGGAAGATAGTTCGAGGGGCAATGGCGAACCGGGTGAAAGAAGATGAGAAGAATGAGAAGATAATTCGAGGGCTTCTGAAGCTTCCTGCCAACCGAAGATGCATCAATTGCAACAATCTCGTGAGATTCTTCTCTTTTGTTAATCAGAAGAGACAGCATATGCATGCCATGATTGATTCTCCAATTACAGGACAAACTGATTTTATACTAACCTAGATTTATATTTGGTTTCTGAACATAAAATGATTTATTAACTGTGATGTGTTAGCAACCTGATGGTGCAAAATATATCTGTATTAATTAGCACAGTGTTATGTGTATCTCATATATGAAATTGTTCAGTTCTAGATAGCATCAAGTTTTAACTCAGTCAGACTATTCATAAGCTGTTTACTTCACACTGGAAGTTAATTTAAAAAAGTTTGCAGCAATGATTATTTTTCATTAGTTTCTATTAACTCTAATTTTTTTAGATGGGACAAAATCATAGTCAAAATGACTTTTCTTTTCACTGCCACTGCAAGAATAAATGAAAATACAGAGATTGTATAGTTACATAGTAAATGATTTGAATTGTATAGATCAATTGATTTGGTCAAATGTAAAAATAATGCAGAATAACAAGTAATCCACATTGAAACTGGGACTATATGATGAAATGTAAATGGTAAAATAATTACTTCTCAAGAATAGGCAAAATCAAAGGAGTATGAGACTTGGAAAAAATAATATAAAATATATTCCGTGGATGGTGTAACGGTTGTCTCATGGGAAGTTGGTGGTTTGATGAATTCTAAATGGTGAAGGGACATCCTATGATGTTTTTGTTAGTGAGTCTAGGGATGGTGTAACAAATATATTCCTTGGATGGTGTAACAAATTGGCTCTTGGGAGGGTTCTCACTACAGCAAACTGGGAGTCTTGATAAATAAAACAAAGGAGCATTTATTTATTTTTTGTCTTGTTAAAGAGTCTTGTAGTTTGCATCTGATTATGTATAATTATAATCAACCTGTTAATTGATGTCGACCTTATCAGGGAGCTTTATGAGAAATTAGATTGTAGCAAGCCCTTTCTAGCATGGTCAGTATTATATGCCACATCATGCCAACACAGCTATTAATGACTGCATTGGTGGGAGTGAAACATGGTAAAACATTTCTAGTTAATTCATTAATGTAGAAAAAGGGGGGACTTTGTTCAGGTGTTTCACAATGGTCTTAAAGCTAAATTGACAAGTGTGTTAACCATTAACTTAAAAATAAGAAATTAAATTTTGTTGTGTTTAACAGTGAGAACAAAAAAATCAAAATGGTCACTGTTTACATGTCAATTGTGATGATATGTTGGTTGCTATTTGTGAGAGATAGTGGTGCTCTTGAGAAAGAAGGGGAATTGGCACATTATGTCATGAGGAAAACCTTCAATGGACAACTTGTCATATTCTTGGCAGCTTATGTCTGCCAAAAACTTCACTGAAGGCATTTCCTGGACCATACAAGTGGTGGTTGGTAGGTTCCACCTCGTGTTGATAGAAAAGGGGCATAAGAGCTGATTAAGTGGGAGCATGGAAGACCATAGGAAAATGAGAGGAGGCCTTATTTAAAATAAGAATAAGAAGAACAGGAAATTATAAGTGCAAGAACTGAAACCGTCAAATTTGGTTTGGTAGTTGGTATGCTGCCCAAACTCAAATTGTATCGGCCAGTATACCTGAAACAAGTAATGCTGTCTGATACACTCCTTGTACTGCATAATTAGGCATCTAGTTTGGTCTATATTATGTATTACATCTGGTACATGC